CTGAGCCTAGGGAACAGCTGTTTGTCCGTATCGTGACAGGGGGATACACACGTGGGATGAAGGAAGTAACAGGGGGAAGGTACAAATGCAGAAGAGGTTCCGGAGGGCCAAGGATCACGCCATTAGGAGCTGTAAATACCATTTGGGGAGAATTAGAATCCTGAAAACTGGTCTAAGAATGGGATTAGATGCTAACATACATTTGGGTTCCACAAACCTTTGGCAACAATTCAGTTTTTGTTTAAGATTGACAGATCAGTGTTCGGTCAGTGAGGGTTGTTTCACAGTCTTGTGTAATACTTGGAATCAAGCCTTGTTAAGTTCGTGCTGCTTGGTATAGGAATTCGTTTTCCTTCCGTAAGGAAAAATAATGGAACATCGTGTTTACAAGTAATGAGAACTCTAAAGGACGAAAACTTCAGAGCCAATCAACACTTTGGAGGACAAACTTTCAATGGTGTTTTGGTACATCCTTGACTATTATCAAGTTGTTTGGTAATGATTTGATAATGATCCAGGATTGACCGAAACATCGTTTAAAGTTTTCACACCAGTGTGGATAAACTTGTGAAATGTTTCAGCCATTGGACTTTTATTCATCATGGCAATTATTTGTGAAAGCACTCTGGTCAGTGTTTGAGACACTACTACTAATTGCAGCAAACTCTCATCAGGTAATTCCACGAATTACAGTTAAGGCTTTCAATGTATATCATGCAGTTTGTAACCAGGTGTGTTTATCTGTATCCAGTGGTGGAAGAGAAGAAAAGTAGTAGATAGTATATTCTCAGTCAATGAAACATTTAAGCCGGTGCCTTTATTTCCGTGTGGTAACCTGTATATAGTATGTATAAGCAATACAGTGAAGGATAGAAGTCAAAATTCTGAAACTTAAAATTAGACAACGTTTTGATCCGTAAGGGAATGAAATAAATGATTGAGGGCGGGTTGAAACCATACCAAATAATGATTTTCAAATTGAGGGTTAGTTATAAACGAGAAAAACAATGTGGCCTTTGCTGGTGGGCGTAACACCGACAAGTATGAGGAGAAAGACATAAATATGCAGAACAAGCTGTTATTTAGGGGATGTTCCACTCTTAACATGACCTGGAAAAGCTCTATCTACAGCGAATCGTTGTCCAAGTTAAAAAAAAAAATTCTGAACACTTGTGTTTTTGTCCACGGTATGACCTTTATAACGTCCGAAAAGTTTTGATATTTTGCATCACTGACCGAAAGGTCACCCCACCCTCATGAAACAAGCGTTTCTTATATCTTACGCTGTGCGCCATACCTTGACCAACTTTATAGCCTCCCTGGCTCTACTCTCCAGACGATGCTTCGCCTCGAATTATATCTTACTTATATGGGAAATCATTCACGCTTAAAGGAACACTACGCTATTGGGCATCCTTCATAGGTATGAGAGACCCTCTCTCTCTAATGTATGGAGACACTCTTTACACACATGGGAAAAAGCCTGAGTAGACAACAAGACCCGAAGGATAGGAATCACCAGAGACGAATAAAAATGAGAAGAATTTAAAATTATCTTTCACTGAAACCTAGTACTTAAAATCGCTGTCTATTTTCTTGTAAATTTCGATGTTTTTCAGTTTAAACCACTCATTTTATATTCAAAGATGATGTACTGGTTATGATTAACGCTGGCCAGTCAACCTATTGGAGTCATATAGAGGAAGAAGTCACCTAATTGCATGACATACGATACCGAATTAATCGGATATCTGGAGATAGTGATGGTTAATCAAGTACATCTGTTTTATGCTCTCTTAATCGTTTATTTGTTAGCATGAAAGTGAGTTTCATATCGTTATTATTCTTTGAAGTTATTGTTGGTGGCAGTGTTCGTTAATTGGACAGGAAACAGGACAAGTGTCTCCTGACGCTTATCATCCATTAAATAAACAGAGGATCACTGCCTAGTATTGTCTTTAGATGACGATGATGATGCCCTCATGAGGCTTCTGGTAATGAATGAGCATCTGGATAGAAGACTCGAGGTGTTTGAATTTATCATTCTATACAGGGAAAACTATCCGTCTCTCAGTTATAAAAGTAACACCAGGACGGGAGGATGAGAAAGCCAAAGCAAAGAAAAACAGCTTCGCCAATCTGACGATCCTCGACTATTATAATCCACCACCTCCGTGATCCATCACCATGATGATCCACCCTCTCAGTGATCCACCTCCATGCAAATCGTGAGGTACACTTCGTTATCTACATCTAACCATTTACGTGCCTAGCTTCCTCGATGACAAATCTCGTACATTTCTTAGCGAGCGGCGCCGCAGTAAACACAGAGCACTGAGGGGACGACCGCTACCTTTATGAGCCCAATAAATCATCGACTCCTTTTCCGCATGGTAGGTACTCAGCGTTAACAGAGTGTTGACCTTGAAGCTTCCTCGAAGGGAAGCAGGATCCAGGAGCCTAAATAGGAATCTCATGCCAAACTTTCTAAGAGCTCCTGAGAGGATCTAGGAACCTTAAGAGGAGTCTCATATAAAACTTTGTAAGGAAGTCCTTTTAACGGGACCCAGGAGCCTTAATAGGATTGATTGCCTCTCCTAACTTTAAAGGGAACTCCTCTCAATAGGAGCCACGAACCTTAGTGACCAGGTAGCGATTAGCAGACGATGGATCGACTCATTACTACTCCTGACACTGAATGGCCAACCTGGGTTTAGCGCTTCATTAAAAATAAACAACAACCTTAATTAAACAATAGCGCCACATCAAATCAAAGATGTACTTTCATATATACCTTCAACTCTTATACTTTTAGTATAATAGTTTTAACCTATTCCACTCGTCGTGATATATCATGTTGCGATGTATCACTTGGGTCAATATCCGAGTAGAAGTAAACGGTGTAAAATTCCGACAATATAAAAAAAAGAGACACGAAAACAGTATAATGCGATCCTTTAGCGACAACGTTTCACCCACACATTGGGCTTTATCAGATCACATACATATCACATCTGTTTGTGATTTCATAAATTCACTCAGTGGGCGAAACGTTATCAATAAAGGATCACATTATACTGTCTTTGCGTCTCTTTTTCCATCAATACCCGAGTATTGAGTTGTTTATTGCGTTGACGAATGCTGAAATCTCAGTTTGCTTTGAGTGATCTCAGCGATTCAGAGGGAGAGCCATTCACTGTTTCTTTCTATATTTTTTAAGTTCTTTCTCCTAGTTTTTCACTGTAGTGTCGAGTTCCAGTGAGCTTATTAAATGAACATCAGGAAAATTACCGCTATGTGCAGATAACTTTTACCCGAAATATGGATACGTCAATCCCGCACTGAATATTTCCTTTCCATTGGCATTATGCTCAGGATTGAACTTCCAATAGGACTGTAGTTTCTAACACATTCAAAGCTATTTTTCCTTGGATACGATCGACAAGAACCCAATTTTCGCTCCCTAAGTTCTTTAGTTTCAGAGTGTTAGAGTACAGGGAGAACATTCATTACAAATTATATTTTTCATACCTAGTGAACCAATAGACACATAGCATATATAGAGAGCAATGAACTCGTCAACCTTTATACGCTGAGAGTTTAATCTCTCCTTAAGGTATGAAGGTACACTTATTGCTTAGTAACAAGACTGATTGTAACTTATTTACTAGTGCACAGTTAACGAGTCATAATCCTAACACGGTAACAGGCACAAAGTATATTGATAAATTAGACACATGTGCAACTCTTGGGTATCTTTATTGAGGAAACGTTTCGCCACACAGTGGCTTCATCAGTCCATACAAAGGAGAGGTGCAGCAGTCATAGGTGGTGTAACATTTGTTCAATGTTGAAGTAGGTCGTGCCCAAGAATTAGGCAAGCGAAGAATTCCCAAGTATTAAGATCCCAAGAAGTTGCAGTGTCTGATCTTGGGATCTTAATACTTGGGAATTCTTCGCTTGCCTAATTCTTGGGCACGACCTACTTCAACATTGAACAAATGTTACACCACCTATGACTGCTGCACCTCTCCTGCCAACGGTTTATAAGCTCCTTCTCAGCACGTATGCCGTATTCTATTCAAGATTGATGGACTGACCACATCGACTCAAGGTTGAGGGACTGATTACCTCATTCTCCTCCTGTTCTTCAAGATTCTCCTTTGTATGGACTGATGAAGCCACTGTGTGGCGAAACGTTTCCTCAATAAAGATACCCAAGAGTTGCACATGTGTCTAATTTATCAACATGTCGGTTCTCTGAACCATTCATCTACAAACAAAGTATATTAAATGAAAGGGATATCTCAAGGTATATACTACAATGAGAATTTTCTTGCATTCCTATGTGGTGAATCAAAATAGAATTTAGACAGACTGCGGCTTTAATGGCCCCCGTGCAGCGGAAAGGCCTTAGCCCTACCAAATCACCAGAGATGCAGTGAATCTGAAATGGCGTTCAATTTTTTTAGCTTTTAATTTTGCAAAGGGACTTTCCACACGCATTCTTAACACTACGGAGAGGTGAGGATAAACCATGGTTTCAGAACAAACTTTTACTTGTATAACGTTTTGCGTTATACAGAGCTTTACCCAAAAGTCTCTTCTGAAACCTGTGTCTTTTCTTCATAATTATCAACAGAGCGCCATTTGGATACATTTTACAGGGGAATGAGCAAAGTGGCAAAATTTTATGTCTTACTACCTCTTCTTCCCCTGCCTTCTTTCTCGCTGTGCAGTGTAGCATTTTAAATAAGGGAGAGTAGCATATATATTATAAACGTTCTTTGGCATTGTTGGCACAGTGGTGGTCACGCGTAAGTGAAGTCACCAGATCGATCCCCAGAAATCCTAACATAACCTGGGGTTATAGCTCTGATGGAAATATTGACGAAGTCTTATAAAAGTCTTCAAGGTAAAAAAAGTTGACAGACAAATCAAGCTTTCATTTTGTCACGGTGCTATGGAAAGAATACATGTCAGTGACGAGTTCTCCCGAAAACGAGATAAACTCTATATCCAGTAAGACACCTGAAGAATTTTTGCTGTACTAAAGGCTTAAAAGCTTAAAATCCGAACCCCTCAAGGAAGGTTCCTTGACGCTGGTGAGGGGCTCTTGATCTAGGGAA